TCAATTTTTGCCGTTTTTCAGTTTTTGACATAATTTGAAAATGCCTGTTGCCTTTTACATTGTGTGTAAATTTCATGATGAATGGACTAAAAGAAACGGCCCAGAATGATTTGGAAATAAGTCTGGTTCCATTGACTTTCATTAAAAGTAAAGTATGTTTTTTCCTTCTCCTGTAAAGTTACCATTTTGGAGATACGAGGTTTTGTTTAGCTTTATATATATTTAGCTTATTAATTATTAGCTTATTAATATTGTTATCACAGTTAATGCCTTGGGTGTAAATATATAATAAAATAATCTTTGTAAATATGGACTGAATACTTAATTGTTTTAAAGAGCTTTTTAAACTGTGGAACTGCAGTGTGAACTAGTTTAGTTTAGTTTGAACTAATTTGGTTGCATGTTCTGTACACATCACTCTGTTTGTGTATATCTGTGCAGATTAGAGGACTTTTATTTGAATATCTGTCCATTGCAAATGTGTTTACTGCAAATGAAACAATAGAAATGATAGTTATTATCAGTTTTATTATTTATAAACAGTTGACAGCTTTACGTTTTAATTTATTCTGACTATATATAGTGTTTGATGTGGCACCAAAGAACCAAAAGTCCTTGTCAAACACATGATTTGAGATTTAAAAGTAATTCTGCTCTAATGTGAGGTAATTCGTGCTGGAGCTTCGGTCACAGTGGAGTGGCTGTTTGAAGGCAGCAGAACTGCAGTGATTATGTGCTGTTGTTTCCCTGCTGAACGGGATGGAAAGTGACAGGTTCGCTGCAGAGCTACAGCCTTTAAACAACACGCTTTAACAGGAACACGAGGCTCTGGGAGTCGGTTTGTGAATAAATGTAAGAAATATGGATTTGCTTAATTACATCTGCGCTCATCGTGTTCAACAGCAGAAATAAATGAATCGTGTTGCTGTGAAAATCAGCTGTAATGAGCTCTACAGACGTGGACACGCTCCAGATATCTGCTTTACCTCACTGCAGGTGAGGAGGAGTGACAGCTTTCAGTGTTTACATAACAAACGTTCAGCATGATGTCTGGCGAAGCTGCTTGGCATGATGATCTGCTGAACACATTAGGCCTCGCTAAAAAATCAAAATCGGTTACTAAGGGTGTGACGGTACACAGAAGACACGGTTCGGTACAACTTAACCCCTTAAAATCTCAGGCTTATTACCCAGTAAGGCTTATTATTCAGTATCTACAGGGACTTCAGTGCAAACTGGCTGAGCTATTCTTAGATTATAAAAGGGCGTACCTAAACTTTGGTCCTGCCGGTGGACCCTGGACTTTTAAGGGGTTAAAACAAGCAACAAAAACCCCAAATGCATTAAGTTAGATTTCTTTTCATTTATTTTGAACAGACAGCAGTGCAAGTTACAGTCTATTACAGTAGTAATAGGTAGTTGGTAATAGGTAGTTAGTAGGTAGTTGGTACAGCCTGCAGTGTATTAAAGCAGTAAAATGTAGAATGTAAACAGTGAGCTCTCCCACATAGGTAGTATAATTACGTAGGACTGATAAAAACAATCACCTACCAAAATATAAAGCATCTCTTATGTCATTAAAGTACAAAATAAATAGAATAATAAAAAGATAGAACTTCCATGCTGCATAACATGCAGCGCCGTGCTGTACTGCACACACTGCACCCCTATATTAATCAATATTAGCTTTCACACGGGCCGATCACGTCACGCGGCACCGGGCTGGTCACACACATGAAGTGCAAAAATACTCTTTGGATTTATTTTTGACGTGCACCACACAGCTGCTAGAGGTTTCTAGGCAGAAGCTGTAAAGAAATGCAGTGTTTATGCTATAAAATACAATCTAGGCAAATAAACAAATCAACAAATGTAGTTTTAATCCTTTGACAAGGTCAGTCAGAAAAATAGAAACTGGTTAATGTTGTGAACCTAAATGTATCTCATCACATGGTGAGAAAGTCACAGCAGAAAGTCTGTTTTTATTTTTTATTTTTTTTTTGGTTTCTTTGTATCATCTACATAAAGTTTATATGACAGTACAGACATTTGTATTATGTGAAAATGCAACAGAATCTGAAACGTTTTTTCAGCGACACACTTGTTTTGCGACAACTCAGTCAAACGCCAATCAGCTTGAGCTGAGCTTAGCATGGCATGTTGCTATAAGGCTTAAGGTTTCAGGGTGGAACTCACGCTTGTAAAATTTGGTTCTGCATTACATTCATCAATCTTTGCAAATAGGCCACCACATATTCTCTGTACGCCTGCATGCACCAAATCATAACATCTGTACCATGAAGGTTTGGTACAAATACACGTCTCGTTACACCCCTATCGCTTACATGCCCCCCAGGGCTGAATAATCCAACATTTTTTTTAAAACTACTTCATTTTGGTCATTTTAGTTGTTACTGCAAACGTACATTTAAGAGCTCCTTCTGGTGTAATTTCATAATAACTTGTGTGCCAATAGTGTCCCTTACTAGAGAAACTGCAGACTCCAACATGTCCTCTAGATGAGTGATTTCTAAAGCCACGACCGCAGGGTTTATTAAAAAATTAGGTGGTTTTCCATTGTTGTCGTTTTGGATAGATGCCTTTGGAAAACCATGAAATGCAAACCACAATTCCAAAAAAGTTGGGACAGTATGTGAAATGCAAATAACACAGAAAACAGTGATTTATGAATCTACTTTGCATTTTAATAAAAACAACACATAGAAAAGATATATAAAGCTTTATCATTGTTTTTTGTAAATATATGCTGATTCGTGCAACGTATTCCAAAAAACGTAAGACTATGAACACTGTGAAAAGAGCATCCGGGAAAGGTTAGTCCTTTATAAGTAAGGATGAATAATAACAGTTGAATAATAACATTTCACAGTGAGAGATGGCAAGGATTTAATGTATTTCACACCCTACAGTGCATAATATCATCAAAAGATTCAGGGAAACTGGACCTTCGACCCCTCTGACGACACTGTGTTAAAACTGGTATGCTCAGTGAAAACATGCATTGTGGTCCGACAGGTCAACGTTTCAAAATGTTTATGGAAATATTAGATGTCCTGTTCCCTGGGCCAAAGAAGAAAAGGACCATCCAGATTGTTACCAGCATAGTTCAAAATCCAGTGTGTGTGTGTGTGTGGTGGGGGGGGGTGGTATTAGGGGGTAACTAGTTCATCTGTGCACTATTAACACTGAACAAATTGTTGACCAACAAATTATCATATATTCAAAAATCTTCTTAATTTTAATGTAAATTAATGTAAAAAGACTTTATTCTAAGAAACGTTGGAGTTTATATGTCGATCTATTCATCATGAAATATTCACACAAAGCAAAGCACAGCTGCTGAGCTCAAATAATGCAGATAACTAAAAATCACAAAAAATGAAGATACTTTGTCTTTTTTGGACCATAAAAATACGCTGCCTTCTAGGCTACGTCTCTTTCAGGAATGATTATTTCAACATAACAATGCCAGACCACATTCTAAATGTGTTACAACAGCACAGTTGCGTAATCAGAGGTGCTAGACTGGCCGGCTTGCAGTCCAGAAATGTCTCCCACTGAAAATGTATTATTAATCTCAAAATATGACAACGAGGGCCACTCACAGTTGCACTACTGAAGACTTGTATAACAGAAGAACGACAAAAATTCTGCTCTCAAAACTGGATCAGTTTGTGTCTTCAGTCCCCAAATGATTATTAAGGGTTGTTAAAAGGAAAGGTGATGTAACACAGTGGTAAACATGCCCCTGTCCTGATTTTTGGGACATCAAAGTTGGAATGAGTATATATTTACAAATAAAAAAAAAACAAAAACAAAAAAAAGAAGTTCATAATGTAATGTTTTGAGTTTCTGTACCACCTTCCATGTAATACAAGTCAAACAGAATTTACCAATCACTGCTTTCAGATTTTACTAGCAAATATATGTGCAACTATTTTGAAATTTGGTTTGTATTATATTTTTCATAATTTTCATAATTTGTGAACCACAGGGAAGCTTAAACTGTATACAAAATGCTGAGAATTTTTCTGAGACAGTACGTCATACTCTGCGAATCTCGCAGCAGAGACAGAGACATCTTTTCATAGCCCCATAGTAACCCAATGATTTAACAATATTATTACATAATATTTCAATATTATTTAACAAGCTGTTTAACGGTAGATTAGTCATCTTTAGTTCTCTGTCAGTTCTCTTCCCCAACACAGCGAATATCGCCTTTAAGCATCATCATTGAGTTACTTGTCAATCGTCACTAATATCCGGTTGTAGCGCCTTAGAACATACAGGCTTAGAACACACTGATATTGAGAAAATGGGGTGGATATTATAAATGCATGATAAACAAAGCTTTTAAACACCTGCTGTTTGTTCAAAACAGTGGAATTAAAACTGTGTGAGGGTGTCGTACAGTAAGTTTGAACGTTTGGTTCAATCTGGACATAAACAGGCTGTTTTTGCTGCAGTACTCGTCTCCTAACAGACTCCATCCTGAAGCTCCAGAGATTCTCATTCACTCTGATATTTCTCCCCCGAAAACATCTGAATAAAGCATAAAGCGAGGAAATAAATGTCAGCACAGATTCTTGTCTGCTGTGGCTCTGTGTTGCTTATTCATGCTGCTATCTGTGGAGCGTAAGGACCCCAGCTCCCCGAGACACACCAAAGATCACAGCCTTCCTGAGAGACACTCACCACCATCTAAACCACAGAGAGTACAAGACAGAGACACACTCCCCACCAACCCCTCCGGTCACGTTCAACCAGTGCAGCTCAACAGTCTCGTTTCTACAACAGCCTCATCTGTATTAGGATCAATAAATGTGATGTTAATGTTGTATTATTTATTTTATGTGTGTGTATGTAAGAATCACCCCGTTTAAAACTTCAGTCATGTTCACGTATGGCAACGTTTCACAATCAATAAATAAATACTGCTGAGACACTGAGTAAGAGAGCAGACCTGAGGGTCTTACCGATGTAGTGCGTCCACTCAGGGTCCAGATCAGCCTGGTTGGCCAGGCAGCCCTTTAACACGTTCAGGCAGTAACTCCTGCAGGGTTTGACCGCAGTAAGACCTCGACAGGACGGGCAGTATAGCATCTTGGTGACGGCCTTAACACACGCCACACTCATGCTAACCTGTGGACAGAGAGTGGACAGGAAGTGAACAGGAGCGAATGAGAAAATACTGCAGTACTACACAACTACAATATTACAGTACTGCAGTACAACAGTTCTACAAGACTACAGTACACGACTACAGTACTATAATACTACAGTTCTACAGACCAGCATTACTACAATACTATACTGAAATAGCACTTTACTACAGTACTACAATACTACAGTACTGCATTACAACAGTGCTACAATACTGCATTACTGTAGTACAATACTTCAGTAAAACAATGCTGCATTGCTACAATACTGCACTACAATACTACTGTCTTTAGTACAACAATACAGCACTGTACTACAACACTACTGTACTACAATACTACAGTACTACAATACAGCAATACTGCGGGACTGCATTACAACAATACAGCACTACAGTACTACACTACACTTCTACAGTACTGCATTACTTATGTACTGCATTACTATAACACTGCACTACTATAGTACTGCACTACAGTACTACAATACTACAATATTGTGCTACAATACTACAGCACTGCTTTACTATAGTACTGCACTACAGTATTACATTACTATAGTATTGCACTACAGTACTAAAATTCAACAGCACTGCATTACTACAACTCTGCACTACTGCAGTACTGCACTACAGTACTACAATAGTGCTGCACTACTACAGTGCTCCATTACTGCAGTACTGCACTACAATTCTGTAGTACTACATTACTACAGTCATGCACTACAGTTATACAACAATATAGTATTGCATTATTACAATACTGTATAGCTACAGTACAGAGTTTCCCTGGGAAAAAACTGTTCAAAGAAGTAAAACTATCTTGAAATATAATAATGTTATAATTTCTGATAGTGGGGAATATTAGATGTATTTGGATGAGATTTAAAATGATTTCACTTGCTAGGACGTCATATTTGGAGTTCAGGCTAAAAGGCTAATGGTGGGTCAGCAGCAGGTGAGCTCGTTCTGCGGTTTAATCTCATTCCTCTTAACTTTAATTCCCTCTGCAGCTCCACAATATTTACTCCTACTGTTTGTGAACATTGTCAGAACTGCAGCAGGTAATTAAACATAAATCTCCTCCTGATTGACCGTCTAAATGGCATTCAGAACCTCTCCGGAGATTTCAGTTTCACAACTCGCCTCCTCACACTGACTAAATATAGCTACTAAATATAATGTCTGTCTTAAAAAAGACGTTTAGACTTCAGCAACTGCTTAACAAGCTGGTTCTCCTGAATTAATTAATAAAAAAGAAGAAAGAAAGGTGCATGAATAAATCAGCGTTTGCCAATTTTAATATTTTTCTTCTTAGTTGTTTCAAGAACATTCCAGCACTTCTACTCACTTAAAAATGTTTTTTCATGGGTTCTCTGGTAAAGGCAATGGATCTATTTAGAACCATGAGTTCTATATAGAACCAGTTCATGTACAAATGCTTTATTTTATATGGCAAAATGGTTCTTCAGATTGATAGAGAATGTGTTCACTCTTTAAGAAGATGGTTCTTTAGTAAAAAAAAAAAGGGTTCTATATAGAACCATGAACACTCAAATAACCCTTTGCATGATTAAGGGGTTCTTTGCATGGTTAAATGGTTCTTCAGACTGATGGAGAATGTGCTGTAGATGCTTCCATACAGAACCTTTTGGAAAAGGGTTCTATATAGAACCAAAAAGCGTTCTTCTGTTGTTGGCTTAACATCATAACAATAGAAAAACCCTTTTCAGAAAGGTTCTATACAGGACCATCTACAGCACATTCTCCATCAGTCTGAAGAACCATTCTACCATGCAACTACCTTCTTTTAAAATGTGTATGATTCCATATAGAACCTTTTTGAAAAGGGTTCTAAATAGCACCAAAAATGGTTCTTCTATTGTTACAAGCTTTACATCGTAACGATGGAAGAACCCTTTTCAGAAAGGTTCTATACAGGACCATCTACAGCACATTCCCCATCAGTCTGAAGAACCATTTCATCATGCAACCACCTTTTTTAAGAGTATATATGATTCCATATAGAACCTTTTTGAAAATGGTTCTATGTAGCTCTAAATAAAAAGGGGTTCTTCTAGCAGAGCCACTTTTGGTGCTATGTAGAACCATTTTCAAAGCAAGAAAAACAGACAATGAGATCAGCTGAGGGAAACGTCTCAGGCTGAGTTTATTCTGAAAAGCATCTTGTTCATAATGAATGTTCCGTGTCCAAACGCAGGGCTGAAGGTTCTGCCTGTAGGAGAGTCTGTAGAGAACACAACAAACATACAGACAGTCTTTTTCAGCGTCTCTCGCTGTGTTTCTGAAGCCTGTCCTGTTAGCATGTGTTGGCTGACTGCTAAATGATTGAGGATGTTTTGGACAGAGTTTCTAACGTCTCTCTCTCTGCGTATCCAGCTGAGCGAACACTGCCGTAGACTCAGCTGAACCACCTGAGATGGTTCTTCACTCAGGAGCTGCTGTACGAGGCTGTTTCAGCCCAATCTAAAGGTTTGGATTCTGTTCAATAATCATATTCCTTTACAATTTCATTCAATATCTGGGTCATTCTACAGAAACGTCCACTTCTCTATCTCTCCATAGGAGTCACTGGTGTTACTGGTCCTCATTGGTGTTCCACATAATTGAGGAACACCAGAGACATTTTAATGAAGAATGCATTTCACAAAATGGCTGCTACAGAGCATCAAACCACATGTTGTCAATCATGGAATATCCACTAAAATATGTAATTTAATCCATTTGTATTCTATTTTTTCACAATTACCTCAGAATAAAGTGGGTCACACCAGTGACTTCAGCTAAAAGCTTCATATGAAATCATGAGCTGAATGAGAAAATCTCTGATAACTGAAAGACACAGTGGACTCACCATGAGCTTTTCTTCATAGATCCTCAGAAAACAGGTAAAAGGAAGTCAAGTGATGTCATCAGTGTGACTTTTATTTCAAAATAAGAGATTTTTTGTTAGGTAGTAACACCAGCGACACGACTCCTGGGGACCACAACTTTCATTATATATTTTATAATATTTATTTGTTTTCTTTAAGTCATTTAAATCATATATTTCATAGTCATGTATAGATTATTGCAGTTAAAATTTCAGAAAAATGTATTTTTTCTTCAAAATATGGCCTCAGCCTTTACACACGACTGTGAGGACGAGCTCTTCTGTGGTGCTTGGAGTTCTAGATAATTGATTTATAAACCAATATTGCTGAATTGAGGATCAAGAAGGCGAATTGTTAAAATTACTTATTGTTTTATTTTAAAATATAAATAAATTGTAACACTAACATGTTTTTTAAGTGTAATATATCTGTAAACGCTAGGGACACAGAAATGGACGTTTCTGTAGAATGACTCATATATATTTTTAGAGGATCTGTCTGCAGCAGGGTGTCAAACTCAAACACTGAAAGGGCCATATTGAAAAATCTTAACAAATCTGTGGCCCAAAGCTGTTTTTATTTCATTTTTTGATAAAATAATTTGACCATTGTTTACTCAAAATACGTCAAAACATCAACAGCAGAATGTGTTGTATATGGTTCTATATAGCACCAAAAAAGGTTCTGCTATTATTACTATGCTAAGCTTGTAACAATAAAAGAACTCTTTTGGTGCTGCATAGACACCTTTTCCATCAATCTGAAGAACACTTCTTGATGCAAAGAACCCTTTAAGCATGCAAATGGTTCTTTGTGTGTTCATGGTCATTTAAAAAGATGGTTCTGAGGGTTCTGTAGCAAACAAAATGGTTCTGTATAGAACCATGAACACTCAAAGAACCCTTTAAGCATGCAAACGATTCTTTTTGTGTTCATGGTTCTATTTAGAGCCATTGTCTTCACTAAAGAACCCTCGAAGAACCATCTTTTTAAAAGGGGGATATCACTGAGAGCTCCCACATTTTCAGAAGTGACATTGCAGGTTCCTGCTCTGTGATTCAGGATTAAATCTAAACCTAAATCTTTGACTGGATCAGATGTTTCACAGTCAGGTTTATGAACAGTGCATTTTCAGATCTGAATAAAAAAGAGGAGGGGAACACGCTGCAGGCTACGCGATAGCGTCTGCTATCTGTCTCACTGCGACCTTCTAGAACAGACAGCTCCAGTGTTTCTGCCCCGCAGGTCTGATTTCATTATGTTAATAACAGGCATTTGAATTTCAGGCCGTAGAGCAGAAATCTTCGGTCTGATCCGCGTTTGAGTCTGAGTGACAGTGGATCGCTGGATTTTCTGTTTGATTAAAGAAGATCTACTTCATGAACTGGAGGTGCAAAAACCTTCTGAGCCTTCAGACTCGACTCTTCAGCTCCTGAGATGTTGATTCTGTAAGAAATGCATGTATGAATGCGTCTCTCTGGCCTCTAGTTTTATCAGAACTGAGGCTGAAAGCCAAACTCAGATAAACTAACGCTGAGGAGTCGGTAGAATGAGGCGCGAGGGGAGGCCTGACGGTCCACAGCGATCTGCTCTGAATTTAAAGCAGTGACCTTCAGCTCAGCCTCCGATACATTTACTCTGTGAGGATACTGTTTACCCTCCCTGTGGACAGCAAACAGCACGCAGAGATTTCTGCATTTCTGAGCCTGAAGAGCACGTAGAAGCTTCAACAGCGTCCTTCACTGGGGTTTTTATTTAGATGTAGAACATGAAAATAAAAAACTGGACGAACCCTCGCAGTGAGACAGCTCCTCGTCTTCAATACAGAGTGCATTACTCATCATTCTGCATCTTTCAAAGTTTTAGAATATACGTTTTTATTTGAGACGTTCAGAGTCGCTGCAGTGACGAAGATTAAAATAGAATTGAAGAGTTTGTCATTATGGGAAGAGGCCAGGGCTGAAGGACAAACTCCCTCACGCACCCAATCCACTGGGATTTTCGTAAGTGTTTTATTTACATTAGCAGAACTGTTTTCAAAAAGACCTCTGAATTAGGAATTGATGCTGGTTTTACATACAGCCTTATTCTACAGCAGCAAACTGGAAGAAAGATCTTCAACCCCTTAAAATCTCAGGTTTATTACATACTAAGGCTTACTGTTCAGTAACTACACGGCTTAAATAATGCTTAAATAATACAAAAAATTCTACAGTTTGTCTAAATTTAAATCTACCTTCTGCTTAAGTTATGTTGAAGTAAGCTAACATTAGCCAAGAAGATTAACATGCATATACAATGTATCACTGTTGTGGGAACAAAACCTCGTATCTCCAAAATGGTAACTTTACTTTTTTTAATGTAAGTCAATGGAACCAGACTTTTTTCTAAGTGATTTTGGGCCGTTTCTTTTGGTCAATTCATCATGAAATTTATACGCAATGTAAAGGGCAACAGCTATTTTCAAATTATATCAAAAACTGAAAAATGGAGACATGAGGTTTTCTTCCGACAGCAGCGATATATGTCTTCAACAGTTTAAGAGCGATGGGTTAGGGTTAGTGTTAGGGTTATAAATGGCTCATTTATCATTATTAGTAACTAAAACAATCTGTTCCTACTTGTTTTTTAAACTCGGGACATGTTGATTGCTGTGGAGTGGCAAAACTGCTAAGAGTTTAGGGACTGTCTACAAATTACATCACTAACAGTGATAAGCATTACTTAATTATACAAAGCCTTACGAGCCAGTACAGGCCAACAAAGAGCACAAATGATGGCCAGTTAGAGTTTTTAGAATGGCCTGTATTCATGATTATTATTGATAAGGGGTCTCAATAGAAGAAAACTACCTACTATTTGGTATAAAAGCCAGACAGTTAAATCACTTACATTATATAATTTAGCTCCATGAAACAGTGCAGCTCTCCTGTTTGCTTTGTGTTAAGTTGTTAAATCACCGTGTTTAAATGATTTTTCTCTCGTCTTTATTTAATTATTTGACTTTTAAAAAGACAAGTATTTCAAAAGTGACAGAAAGCAATCAGATTAAATCACATCATATTTCTAGATGTTTTTACTTATTTTAAGTAATTTTATCTCATGAAATGATGTTATTCCCGTGGAAGAAGTTGTCATGGGCATTATTTTTTGAAATGAGCAAAGTATCCACAACAATAAAAAAAAACCAGTGTATATTTACAAATAACAATGAAGTTGATAAGATTAAACAATAATTATCTTGTCTTTGTACAGTTTTTGTTTCAGGTCAGAGTGAATTTACAAATCACTACTTTCTGTGTTTATTTGCATTTTAGCTACTCAACTCTTTTGGAACAGGGTTTATATTTAAAAAAAAGTAAAATAGATCAAGAAATAAGTTAATTAATAACAATCTACAGCAATCCTATGAAGATAAATACTGATTAGATTTTAAGATGATTTCATCTGCTGAGAGAGTGTTTTTTGCCGTGAAGGTGATATGATATGAAAATGATATCTCATATGAACCGAAGCTCTGAGTGAAGAGCTGATCTGAAGCTCAGAGTGCTGCTGCAGGAGTTTATCAGAGGAGATGAACTGACCTTTGAAACTCTGTTGGCCACTTCCCGTCCCACCATGAGGCCCTGGACGAAGGTTCTGGCAGCGATGAAGGCCCGCGTGACCTGAGACTTCAGCTTCTTGGGAACGTCTCCGAATGGCTTGAGCTGGTCCATGTACTTGCTGATGCACTCCAGATATTCCTCAGTGATGAGATACTGAGAGTTCAGCAACTGGAACATCCTCTCCAGCAGACGCGTCCAGAAGTCATTCAGCATCTCCTCCAGGTTGACGTTCCCGCCGGTGTAGTAGCGCTTTAGTTCGGAGAACAGGCCCTGGAACACCTCAGCGTTCTGCATGTAGGGCTTTCCATACGTCCTCACGAACATCTCGTTCAGTGAGCGCTCCGTGTTCTCCAACAGCTCCAAGAAGAACTCTGCTCAGAGAGAGAACAGCAGAGTGAGACACGTGCATTCAGGCTTTCATATGCTTTCTCAAAGCACTATATAGACGTACAGGGACAGACTGTTGACCAACTGTTGCTGCACAGTTTATCAGCCCCCACCTTTGGCCAGTGAGATGAAGTGGCCCGTTGAGATGAAGCTCAATGTAGGGTTTCTAATAAAGTGGCCAGCAAGTGGAGACACAAGGTAGGTGTTTCCAATAAAGTGGCCAGCGAGTGAAAGCACAAGGTAGGTGTTTCTAATAAAGTGGCCAGTGAGTAGAAGCTCAAGGTAGGTGTTTCCAATAAAGTGGCCAGTGAGTGGAAGCACAAGGTAGGTGTTTCTAATAAAGTGGCCAGTGAGTGGAAGCACAAGGTAGGTGTTTCTAATTAGGTGGACAGCAAGTGGAATCACAAGATAGGTGTTTCTAATAAAGTGGCCAGTGAGTGAGTATTTTGTGTGGTGTTTCCATTATTTTGTACACTCATTGTATATAAATATGAGAGCAGTCAGACTGTCAAACGTACCTGTGTTGTGACTGTTAATTTTATCAAATTGTTCAGACTTGCTCTGTGTGTGTGTGTGTGTGTGTGTGTGTGAGAGAGAGAGAGTGTGACTGCAGCTCCAGATGGTGGATCACGGGCGCTTGGTGGTTATCGTTTAACAGTGAGATCACAGCTCTGTTTTTAGGCTGTCAGTGTGGAACTGGGTTAAACAACAGCTCAGCTCTGCTGGATAATAACCTACAGTTTAATTAAACACCTGCAGGTTTTAGTGATCCACCAGTGAAGATGTGACACCTTTTAAAATGTACTAACTCTACTTTCTGAAAATATCCTCATGCATACTTCAAAAGATCGCTATATTAACTTGCATAATAATCATATTGTGACATTTTCTCAGATATGTTTCATCCTAAAGTCAGATCAGATGAACATGCCTTTGATCTATTTTAATTCTGTTGTTCAAAACTGCGTCCTGGAGCTTTTTAATTATTCAGAGAGCAGCACGTTCTTCTTCATGCTGGACTCTGGGGAGGAGCTTCAAAATACACGGGATATCAACTACCCCGCCTTAATTAGTGCTCATTAATAATTAACAAATTACTCATCCTCTTCCTGCAACCATAGGCTAGGATATTATGTATTATGATATTCAGTAGAGTGAATAAATGTATTAAAAACAACCCATATATGCTCCACCCATCAGAAATCTGAGGACACCTGGATCACTGGATCATTCTACTCAATTGGTTCCAAAGATCAGACTTTAGACTAAAATCTGTATGATGGTTATTTTGACCCATTAAAATGCTCTTATGTCTTAATTATGTTTGTTAGACAAAAACAATCACAATATTCCTGAAACTTTACCAAAAGTGAAAATATTTTGGCAAAGATAGTATCAAACTCCACCGCCTCTATAATATGGACATTTCGTTTAAGTTAGCTTCATAGTTATTGCCAAATAATTAAGCGATAGAACATGAGAGGGAGTGTGTTATCACGAAATAACATCACGGCTGTGATTTGGTCGCCGTAGATCATCACAGCCGTGATGTTATTGGCGATAACACACTCCTCGAGTGTTCTATTGCTTTAATACAACAGTTAAATAAATAAAGTAATAAATTAATAAACTGGGCCGTGAACGCGGCGTTTAATATGTTTTAATGTTCGCAGTTCCTTCACCAAATTATAGTTCCTTAACGAGCAGCTTGTTGCTACGTCAGAGTAACGAGCTCCGCCCACTCGAGGCACAGCCGGCAGTTCGTTCTCCAGCTCTACACAGAACGACTGACAGTTTGGGAATTTAGTGTCGTCTCATCTTCAGAGTCTGACCAAATCGGCTGTCGGTCAGATGTGATCTTAAGCGTGCGTTTTCTGTTTGTGGCAAAGTAAGAAGTAAAAACATTCAAATGTCTTGAGCGTCTCCTACAGCTGTCAAAGTCGTTGCTTAGCAACGGCGTCTCAGCGGAGTGATACAGTGTTTGTGAAAAACCTGTGATGTTATGGTGAAATAACAGCACGGTTAGAACGCTTCTCAACCAATCAGCTCGCGTGGCCGGAAGTGACTGTTGTATAAAGTGCTGTACCTCACAGTCTGCACTCTGTGAAATTTAAGCTAACGTAACTGAGGCTGAACCGCACACTTTTGCATACATACTACACTAATGAGTGCACTTCTAATGGTGGTGCACTATTTTTTATACACTATTTAGTGCTGTAGTGTGCGGTTTGGGACGCAGCCTGAGTGTTTAAAGTCAGCGCTGATGCTGCCGTGCAACGTAAAATGAAAGCAGCAGGCAGTATAAAATTGGGGCACGAGTGGATCCGGCTGCTGTTTTAAATTTTATAAAATTACGGACACAACCAGGCGGTGCTGCCCTCCAGGGACAGTTTAAGCTCACAAAGGCTTTGCATCTTAAGCATTTAGAACTCATCTGAAAAGAGCACTGTTCATCTTGAGGGGACGGGCTGTCTTACTTGGTTTAACTGGGCTGGCCAGAGGCTCCGCCCCTGCTAGCAAACACAGCTTTGAACAGTTGTACACACATAAAATCATCATCACTGTCAGTCTTCCTGTTCTTGAATAGTTTTGTCCACAGGCCTTTTATCAATAACACCCAGTTCCTGAGTAGAGTAGGTGTAATCTCCTTTCAGAGCTGTGCTGACAAGGTTTTCATACATTCATTTTTCCATTAATGCTCAGAAATGATCGCATGCTGCCAGTGAGAACCTCTGTGATGTGAAAGCTGCTGCTGATAGTCTCACTTCTGCTCTTTTCCACACAGACACTGATTTAAGGTGTGAAAACCTGATGCCGTGTTTGTGTTCTGTGTATGAATGTTAGTTCAACAGTTCAGAGCATTGAAACTCCAGCTGCAGGAATAAACAGTATCCAGATCAGCTGGCAGAGACTTGCCAATATGAAGGTTCCTCATCACCCAGCTCCCTCAGGCTTGTGGTGACCAAACTTTCTCCCAGAGATCTACTGTATCTAGTGCCTGGGTATCTGAGCACCTGAGTATCTGAGTACCTGACCATCTGAGTACCTGAGCATTTAAGTATCTGACTACCCGAGTATCTGAATGTCTGAGTACCTGAGCAACGAAATATCTGACTACCTGAGTAACTGAGTACCTGGGCATTTGAGTACCTGAGTACCTGAGTAAGGACTTCTGAAGACAGTAATGAGTTGGATCAACTGTTGGACTGACTGGATGGATCAGCAGTGGTCGATCTTCAGGAGCAGGGTTGGTGACCACTGTCCTGTACCATGTAAAGACATCAATTCCGTGTCTTTAGATGGCCCAGTTATGGTAGCAGTGCACAGTTTCTGGGATTAGAGAGTTTCACACTGTTTCTGCGGGGGAACCAGCTCCTGGAAGACTTCAGTTCTGGTCTTTAGATGGTCCAGGAATGGTGGGTTAGAACTGGAGAACTCTGCAAGACGGAGGATCTTCAGGACCAGGTTCCTCAGCTGAAACAGTGTGAGACTCCTTTATCTCAGAAACATGTGCAGCTGTTCTGACACTGATTATATCAGATGTGCGAACAGGATGAAGCGACCCCCCCGAGCCGACGCGTAGCACTTCAGCCGGTCCTCTGAGACCACCGCTGCCTGAGAGACCTCGACTTGAAGAAACGAGTCACACGCTGAGCTGAAGATCTGTCCCGACACCCGGTGAATAATTCAGAGAGCCGGATGCCCCGAGCTCCAGCCTGCTTTCGGTCTGAGGCCCTGCCTGAACTGATGATCACGTGACGCTGCCAGTCTGTGTTCAGAGGCCTGAGATCTACATGTTGTGTGGATGTTGATGAGCCGCGAGATACTTAATGTGGTTACACACATTGGCATGAAGTTTTCAGCCCTCCACCTCAGTACACACTGCAAAAAAATGACATCTTCATAAGTGAAATCATCTTAAACCTTTCAATATCAAATATTTCTCATTTTGAGATGCAATATTCTAAGTTCATTCAACTAATTTCTAAAGTTTTTAACACATTGATAAATGTGTAGGAACAAAAATCAGAGAAATGAGAAATACTGCCATGAAGAATAACCAACAATTCATTCTGAAATTGAGATTTTACAAATTGTAGCTACTCATTCAGTAAAATGTAGGGGAGCGTGGAGAACAACTTAAAACAGGGCACAATTTAACATGGACGTTTTATGCTGTTATAGAAGGTGAATCAGCATGAGCTTCTGGCCACATTACCACATTTCCTAGCTGCAGCCTCCCACCAAAATTCAGAGTGATTGGTCAGCATTTTAAAGAGATCTGAGCCAACGTTTTTTTGGTTACTGAGCTGTTTGTGTAAATCACAAAATCCAGGCTTATATCACTTTAATCACCAAGCTCAGTTCAGCCTCCGCACTGTGGGGTTAGTTCAGCTCAGACACCTTCAGTACACAAAGACTAATAAAGGACATTCAGTCTTTTTGTTCCATTTACACAGATTTTAAGATGAAAAAGAGAAACATCTGAAAACTGGAATTTTCTTCTGCTTTATTAGTGTCTGTCAGATGTCAGTATTTTGGTTTTAAGTTTATTAATCAAATTGACATTATCAGTTGGTAAAGCTGTAGTTGTTCAGAAACAATGTTCATATTTTACTGTTGTGTGTTCTTCACTGGACAATATGAATCCATATAGTCATTGTGTGACTCACAGTCTCATGTCAGTGTTTATATATAATTTGATGCGTGTATCAGTTGATCTGTCTGTCTGTTTATAGATTATAATATATAATGCAGTACAGCTGGAAAATATATTTGGATTATACTGAATTAACTCTGTTTGCAGTGCTTGATCAGACTTTTCTAGCAGGTGTTAAACTGACCCTCTGTCTGTTACAGTGAACCCACCCATGGGCTAAACTGGAACACTGCACTTCCCTCATTTTGGGTGGAATTGTACTGAACGGTAGGAGCTGGAAACAAAATTCAAGTGTTCTTTATAACAGAGGTGTTTATGTTGCTTGTATAAAAATATGATTATTCCAAATTAAATATTTTTTTAATTATTTCACAAAAACCGAAATGTGTCAGGTTGTGCTCTCCCCTAATGAAAAAGGGAATTAACTGTCCACCTGAAGGACAAAGCTGTTGAGTACAGGTGAGTGTAATGAAGTATTTGGAGTCGTGATCTGAGTGTTAACTTGTGAGTCAACATTACAAGAGTTCCTCAAACTCCTCAAGCTTTAAACTCAGTGAGGTTAATGACGTAAACTCACACTGGAACACATTCATCAACCAACGTAAGAAACACTGCTATTCATTTAACGTAATTTGCATCAACTGAATTATCTGTACAGCGAGACTCGGTTATTCGGTGGATTCAGAGCTCCTAATGACGACGGTTAATTTTCCGTCAAAAAAGCCTCGCAGACATCAGTTTAATGAGGATCTAAGTTATGAATATTCTATGTGTTCACTGAAAGCAGGCAAGGAGGCGTCGCGATGTCCCAGATAAGACATTTCCAGAGATAAATGAGTCCTCAGAAGAAGAGAATCAGTCGAGATCATCACCATCAAACGATTAAACAGGGAGATTAATAAACAGCGTGTTACTGGAATGTCATACAGCAGTTAAAATGCTGGATCTGGACAGTTCCTGCAGGAGGAAATGAAGTGAAGTCTGCTGGCTGATGTTTTGTACTGACAGTCAGTGCCGTTCTGTATGAAGATCACTGAACGCAGAGCAGTGCTTAAATATATTCATCTACTCTGTGATTCATTTCATCTGATTTTTAATCTTAACTACATAAATAACATTAATTATCTTTAGCGCTGACCAGGCGGAGTTATGTGGACACTGAGAACATCCACACTCCTAAACATAAAGGTGCCAAAAAGAGTGCCTTATAACAGATGTCGCAACCCAAATGTTAAGAAGAGCCATTTTGTCATTTCAACAAAAATCAAATCACCTTGGGAGTCACAGCATTTTATGTCCATTTTACCATCTTGGCTGTAAATCTGTCTCAGTGTGTGATAATGCACTAGTGTAGACTAAAAAATAAAATATAACTTGCTTTGCTCTGCTTTCAGTTTTAGCTCAGCTAAAGCAGCTTTTCTCGCATCTCCAGCAGGAAACAAAAGCAAAACAGTTTCTGTAAAATGTCTCGCAACATTCAACTTTTTACAAGGTTGAAGTCGCTTCTCATTCGCCAGCTTCTTGTTAGAATTTTCCCGTTCCACCTTAAATGGTGCCTGAGGCACCAGAAAGTAACTGCTGCACTATTTAAGGTGGAACAGGAGAATTCTAACGAGAAGCTGGCGAATGAGAAACTGACTTCAGCTTCATGACTTTTTAGTGTTTCAGTTTCTCGTTGCAGATTAAACAAATCAGGAAACCAGCTGGAGTGATTATAAACACTAATAAGTCCATTTATCTCCAAATTATCGATGTTCATCTTAAATCTCTCTCTTCGCCGTCTCATTAGCTACTAGCTAGGCGAGACTTTTGTCTGTGTTGCTATGGTGACCAGCAGTCTGTGCTGATCTTCAGGGTTAAAGGGTGAATTAGATGTAAATGTATTTTTACCTACAAATCTGATTCAGCTGTGGAGCCACAACAGGACAGTCAAAGAGCCACGTGTTGCTGACTCTTGCCTCATAAGAACGATATTTTGTTCCCTAAAGAACCTTTTAGCAGATGGTTCTTAGGGAACTAGGTTTGTAAATGAGATCTGTGAATGTGAAGAGCCTTTTTAAAGTTTAAAGAAGCTCTACATAATGCAAAGCCCTTAAATTGGATGTGTAAAGGTTCTTTAAGCCTCTAAAAGGTTGTTCTCAAATATTTTTTAAGGCCTCCTATCTACAACAAAATCAGTTGGGGAGTGGAAGTAATTTCCTTTCAGAGCTGTGCTTCAAACACAAAATGCCCAGAAACTGCTTCTAAATGATTGCATGCTGCCAGTGAGAACCTGTGTGGTGTGAAAGCTACTGCTGATAGTCCCACCTCTGCTTTTTTCCACACACAGACACTAATTTAAGGTGTGAAAACCTGATGCTGTATAAGAGGTTTTTCACACTCATACATCACTTTTTCAAACACAGTTTTCAGAAAACCTAAAGTTGTTCTTCTATGGCTAAAACGACCCTTTATGTTAAGAGTTGTTTTCATTAATAAGTGTCATTAATGTTGGGGTTACACTACAAGACCATTACCCTGATTTTAGCCCCGATTCTCAGTCTGAGTCTGAGCTGTTCGGCTCTAGTCTGCAGATTTTTGGGTCAGTCGGAGTCGACAGTTGGAGAGAGAGTCGAGTCGTGTTTGAGGGGCGCAGACTCAGATTTTTGGCCTCCTGATCGCGTTTCACACCAGTCGGAATTTATTAAACATGTTTGATTTTTTCGACCCGATTCTCTGTGTGATCTAGTGTAAACTGGTCAATGGAGGGAAAGAAGAAAATACAGCAAGTAAACACAGAAACAGGTGAGCAGACGGTTTCAGCTCTAAATGATGCTGGAAGATGGAACGAGGAGAGACTCTAGAGAATCTAAATATAGATTCTAAGTCCAGCACAGAGCTTTGAATGCTGTAGACTAACCATTAGGTGAGAACGTTTGAGGGTTGGTGGTGAGATGGTCAGTTTCAGAGATGAGAAGTTCTAGGTTCTAATGACTGTTGGGGAACACCAGTAGTCACAGTTCATATTTTTGCAGCATAATGCGGTAATATTTGGGGACAGTTTGAAGGTTTTAAAAAGGGGATACCACCCAGCCCTAGAGCCAATTATACAGTGACTGTACTCCATTAAAGGTCATCTCCAGGAAGAACACCGACTGTCGATATGACCTCTAAGCTGAGGCAGTGACTAAACTGCTCAGGCCTGATGGGAAGAAGTTCATACGTAACTGTTAATAAACTCGCAGATGTTTCCCACAATGAGAAATGGGCAAAGACAGAAATGAGGAGAACCTCCTGCAGCTCTGTCTGAACACGAACGCAGGAATCGTACCATCAAACCTTTTATGTCTGGACACAAAGGTGTTCCTCAGGTCTTCACTGGCCTCATCCACGAGCTTCTCAAACTCATGTTTACTCCTCTCGCTGAGCTTCTCCTCCACCTCCTGTGTACAGCAGGTCCTCTCCTGCACGCACACCTGCAGATGATCACCTGGAAAACACAAAAACGCCACATTTACAGAGAGACCGAACTAATGCACACCGAGTTTGGGGTGAAATGTTACGCACTGGTTCAGTTAAGCCTCATAAAAGATTAGAGGAAAAACCATAAAATGGCACAGAATTCAAATCTTTCTCACAAACTTTATAATGAATTTACTATGATATTAATTTAGAGGCATTGCATCACACTTGGAAAACTTTCAATGAAGCTGTCTGTTACTATAGCAACTGGATTACTATGTGACTTACATTACAAGTACATACTGGTGTGGTGATGCAATCAAAATGCAAACAAATTCCTGATTTACTCAGAGCTCTAAAGACTGTACTACTGCAGCCAGACAGGTCAGAGTGCTAGCAGTGAAACAGTGTTCTGAAAAAATATCACGACCTCCAGCGAATCAAACTGAAGAGTGATTCATAACAGTTTACTTCATCCATCTTCCGCTACAGCACTGCATTTTATGATCCGAGAAAAGACCATCAGTTTATCAGACGTAAGCCGGGGTTACACTACACAACTTTTACCCCAATTTTAGTCTGGCTGAGTGCTGGTCTGCTATTTTTGGGTCAGTCGGAATCGGCAGTTTGTCGAGTCGTGTGTGAGGGGCACGGACTCAGATTTACAGCCTCCCGATTGTGTTTCAGACCAGTCGGAATTTATCAAACGTCTGATTTTTTGACCCGACTCTGAGTGTAATCTAGTGTAAACTGGTTAACGACTCAATCTGAACTGATTCCTGCAACAACCAATGAAAACAAAGAGCGCAAAAGAAGAAAATACAGCAGGTAAACAAAGAAAAATGTTGAAAAGTCTCTCAGGTGTGGAGCGAAGCTTTTTAATAAGCTGAGTTTTAAGCAGAATCGAGTTTATGTACATTTAAAACTCTAAAAATACCAAACTGATCACATTTTTAAATCCATGACTCTCACTTAAACATGTTTACCTGTTGCTTCTTTACTGTGTCAGTGTAAACGGCAGAGAAAACAGCAGCAGCAGCCCATGTTTGTTTATTTGCGTCTCCTAGTAACAGGAGAACGTGCCAGTTCAGTGAGTTCCGTTCAGTTCAGAAACAGCTTAAAAGTTGAATAGTGTGTGATCCCTAATCGTTTAGTGTGGATCCCCAATATTTCAGTCAGCCAAAAAATCTGCAGAATTCTGATCTGTTAACAAATCCTTTAAGACTTTAAAAAGTTGTGCAGTGAACCCAAGGCTTTAGAACCCAACAGAAACTTTTAGTAAGCGGTGATGTTTCCAGTAGGTACAGCAGTGGAGCAGCTTCTTTAGTGCTCTGTTAGATTATACTGATCTCAGGCCAGATGTTTTGGGCAGCACTGATACAGATCAATCCCTCCAGGAATTAGAGGTCACAAATTTAATCAACCCTCATGAACATTTGCAGGTTTTCACAGTTTAGCCCATCACTGTATTATTCGGCTCGAGCTGCTGACCCTTTGTGTCCAAATCACTGGTGCCCTTTTGATGAGCTCTAAATGCTTCCCTGAGCAGAACCTGTATAAAACTTTAAGGCTGTAAAGCTTTTTTCCAGACTCAGGACCATGCGCTCTGGCCAAGTGTGAAAGCTGTTTTTGAGCCTGTGAGCAGTCCAGAGAACCGATCTCTGGTCCTCCTGAAATTGGTGGTCTTGAGTTTACTTCTTGCCAACTCTGGTGCGGTCAGAGCCGGTTTTTGAGGAGCCTGGCCTCTTCCTATTTCCCCCATTATACCAAACAATGGACTGCAAAACAGCAGAGGGCGCCCACAAGCGAGTCCTCAATGAACGGGAGTAAATGGAGCTCAACAGCTGAAAACAAAAAGTTAAACTATTTTCTAATCACTTACACAGAACTTTCCTTTAGTTTTAGAAAGTAGAAGGATAGAAAACTTACCTATTTATTTCCTTTTTCTACAGCTAATGGGTTTTGGGTGGAGCTAAACAGCTTTTGGCTGAATGGGTGGGGCTAAACTGCTTTTGGCTGAATGGGTGGAGCTAAACTGCTGTAGGCTGAATGGGTGGTGCTAAACTGCTGTAGGTTGAATGGGTGGGGCTAAACAGCTTTTGGATGAATGGGTGGGGCTAAGCTGCTGTAGGCTGAATGAGTGAAGCTAAACTGCTGTAGGCTGAATGGGCGGAGCTAAACTGCTGTTGGCTGAATGGGTGGGGCTAAACTGCTGTAGGCTGAATGGGCGGGGCTAAACTGCTGTAGGCAGAATTGTTTGGGGCTAAACTGCTGTAGGCTGAATGGGCGGGGCTAAACTGCTATAGGCTGAATGGGCGGGGCTAAACTGCTTTAGGCTGAATGGGTGTGTTCTGTGTGAACCACCCACGTCATTGTAAACAGTGACAGTCCTGTATGGTCACTCAAACACTGCCCTGTTTAATATTCCTGCTGCACTAATTCACCTGATTGAACTCATCAGCAGAGACTGAACCAGATTCACAGATAAAGCAGATTAAACGTTCTGCTGACTGTGCTGTGTTTTTTAGGACAGCAGCAGTGCAGGAACACTTCCTCTCAGAGGAGTGTAGAGTACCCTAAACACATCCTCTAGTCAAATTCTATTACTGCAGTGAATGTAAATGACTCTTACAAAATACAGCATGAGCAGAGGTTCAAACGGAACAGCTCAAAAAACCTGAGTACTGAGTGCTTTATAGAACTGGGCCTTCTTAAAACATCCTGCACCTATCAGCACAGGAACTGCCAGGCTGGGGTGGCAGAAATTGACTGCTGCACCATTTACGGTGGAACGGAAAACTATAAGACGCCGGTAAAGAGGATGTTATACACGAACTGAAGCTTGTTTAAAGTACCTGATCTGACCTGTAAAGAGTGACATCACTCACTATACTGGAGACGAGACCAGTACAATAGCATATAATCAAAACATCTGCAATTATTTAATTGTTCAATAGAGTTAACATTGTTTATTTTGGGCCTGCTACTCAAACACAAGTGTGTAATGCAGAAACCTCTCAATTCTCCTCATAATAGCCTTTTTTATCTGATTGCCACTGTTAGCGTTATGCTAATCTCCATTAACTTGCTTATAAGAACTGTAATGCTATATTAGCGCCAGGCTAGCTGTGGTGAATATTCACATTTTATGGCATTTATTTTATGCTCAGGCTTTAAACAGACATTTAGCCAGGTAGCATGTTAGCCTGTGTGCTTTAATGCTACCTGTGTGCTTTAATGAGAACATAATATGTTCCAGCTAGAGCATATATAGATGCAGATCAGTTACAGAGAGTCTGTTAACAGCATCCAGGGTCTCACTTTATTTTTAAAATGCTCTTTTGGGAAATCAGCATTCAGAAATACTTAAGTGTGAACGGGAAATAATTATGCAGCAAAACCACAGACACGAGCCGACAGCTCAGCAGAGCACATAAACACTGTTCTCAGAGAGCAGAAGATGAGGATAATTAAGGGATTAGTATAGAATATATATGATGCACTTACAGGTACTTTTAATATTCATTCAATATATTTGTTACTTTTCTTTTTTGATAATGTTTTCCTGTTTCCTTAGTTCCTACATGTATGTTGTAAAAACCCACTCTCCTGTGGTAATTTATGCCAATGTTCCTAATATTTAAAAATATTAGGCCAATATCTTTGCAGAATGTTTCGCAACATCATATTGTGGTGATTGCTGAAGCCCCAGTTAACATTCAGCAATGCTAGTAAAAACAAAGTTCAGTTACCAGTGACCAAAGGAGAGAAGGGCTTTAAACTCCAGTCCGAAGAACAATTTGCGAGTCTTCCGTTCCCCAAAACCAAGACACACCGCGCAAAGGAAATGTGGGGGCCGAGACAAGCCTGAGAACAATAACTCACAGTTTCAGGACTAGAGAACTACAACAGTACTGACAAATCAGGCACAACGCAGCAGGAAGATAAACAGTAAAGTGGACCGAGTTGGAAAACTGCTCTAGAGGAGCGTCTCCAGCAGGAGAGTCACAATTAAGAAAGACCCAGCAATGTTCTAAATGAGATCTCCTCTCAATCTCAGGTTCTTCTCCTAGACGTGGTTCCGTCTATAAAGCCGTTGTCTCCTGTTTCTGAAATCTGGCTCCCTCAGATTTTCTCACTTTGATTAAAATGTCGTCAGATTAACTCTTTAGTGTCTGACTCAGTCTGACTGAATAATATTTGCACAAGAAAAGTGTGAGATCTCATCATTTTCTTATACCGCTCTGTTCTAGATCACAGAACCCTCTCAGCAGTCTGTCAGTGCAGAAGGAGAACTCACGTTTTTCTCCTTCATCACCAGAACTTCTCACAGTGAAACGCTGATGTTAATCTCCTCTTTTCTCCTGCGGGAGAAACGGTTCAGAAATCAGTGAGCCTTCATTAATATAGTGTTGAGATCTGCTTTATTTCAGAGACAATCAAATATATTGGGACACAGATTAGCCCTAATTAGCTCTTAGCGTGGTTGGTAGCGCTGCTCTAGTGCACTTGGTGTACTTTCTCTCAGATCAGTGCCAAACAACACCTGCAATCTGAAACCACTCAGGATGGACTGAGTGTCCTGTGGATGGACTCTTTGGAGGGAAATGGACTGTTTTAGTTTAGCGCAGAGCCAGCGGGAGCACGACTCCTCCAAAAGTAGTGGGGAAAATCTTATTGTTTTTGAAAAAAAAAGGTGACTGAGTGACAAAATGCAATACTTATTATGTCACGCTATTAACACGTCTCTATAAACCTGTTTATGAACCCTGCACTCAGTGAACAAACTAGCTAATATCTCTGAGGAACATCAGGCTGTTTTCGTACCCAGTTCATTTTCTGAAGAGTTTGAAAAGAGAAAAACAGAAAACAGACTTCTTCCTCACCTGGAGGATTTACATTTCATGTTAAAACTTTGTCCTTAATGGATTTCTGTGAAGCTGCTTTGTGACAGCATCAGTTGTAAAAAGCGCCATACAAATAAATTTGACTTGACTTGACTTGACTTCTTCAACTTCTGCATTTTTT